TGATAAATATTTTAATGAAATTTTGTTGGATTGTTAAATTTTTTGTATTTAGTAAGAAATTAACACATGAAAAATTGAACAAAAAGTTGTTAAGTGGATCTCACATAAAAAAAGTTTAAGAGAAGCTTTTCCTTTCAAAAAATATAAGAAGAAAAGTTTAATATTTTAGAATTGTGTCAGAAAAAATAAAATGTAAAAATATCACTTTTACCTTCCTTTTATCATAGTATTAAGATATTAAAATACCATTAGTCATATGATTTTTTCTTTTTGAACAAATTTGCAAGAGGTTTGATTCAAATTGTTGCTCAGGAAAGGGAATGCACTTTAAACATGACTTGACGTCATTGGACCCAAAGGTCCAAATGCCATTAGTCATATAATTTAGTAATAAAATTACTTATACTTTTAATTATAAATTTAAGGTTTGATGCCTAGTTTTTACATACCAATAAAAGTAAGGTCTTAAAATATGTAAATAATCCTGTTAGGAAGAAAATTGAGGGAAAACTTCTTTCTACAACTAAATTAACACACCTATAATGAAGTGAGAATTCCATGTCAAATTTATTTTTAATCAATTAAAACATGAAATATCTAAAATTTTTCTTATCTTACCATCAATTTCTTGTATGACATCCCAAGTTTTTTTATTGAGGTGTCCCTCAAAATTTCTAATGTGTTAGGTTTCTAATAATCAAGAACACCAAAGTTCTACTCTGAAGTCAATATTCTTTGGAATGCAGAACGTGAACACTTTTTGATGGAGAAAATCCATATCCATATCATATATAGAAATTTAATTTCTATATACACAGGAAGGAGAGATCAATCCGCCACCCATTGTTTACTTGAATTCATTGTCTCAATATGTTAGTATCAATGGCCTTTTGCCATTTGCGTTGAGAATAATTGGGCAGCTAAGGCCAAATACTACCGTCCCCAAGTCGAATGAGATGGTATCTGTTCCTTTGCCCCCGCTGAAACCTGACCGGGTATTATTGTTTTTATAAATCATAGGAATTGAAAATTAAAATGAAGAATAAACTGTTGATTAAAGAAGAATGATTGATTATTATCAAAGAAGAAAATAAAAAAGAATGATGGAGGCCAGCAACTTTTATATCATATAAATGGTAATTTTTTTAAATAAAAATAATGTAGTTTGAGTTTAAAATATATGATATATGAGTAAAATGACTTATATAATAAAAGAAACTTATTTATTGTGTAAGACAACTCTAAAAAAAAGTACAGCCGGAGGAAATGAATTTTCTTATGATCATATCAATTAAAGGGAATAATTTAAAAATAATTTTTTTTTAACTTTTCATATAATTTTATATATAATTTAATAATTAACTCTATTCATTTATCTTATATCTATAATATTACATATATTTATTTATTTAATAACATATAAAAATTATATAAAAAAAAATTACACAATAAAATTGCATCCACATCATTACCCAGTAAGTTGATGTGAAACTTGAGAATTTTTAGGAGGAGATAATCATAAGAAAGGAAAATGATACTTGCACAGAATTGAAATTAGATATTTTAGTTGCTGTTTAAACAAGAAAAAAAAAAAGTTGGAATAGCTTGCTCGGGTCAGTAACATAGATTCTGAGTTAACACTTTTTACTTTTTATGAGCCACATGCTCAAG